TTTTTTTAGGACAATTGACAGGCCTGTTTTAACCCCTAAAACTCAGTGTACAAAAGCAGGAGAGGTGGGGAATGTACTACTGAACTAAACTGTTGAGCAGGGTACTACTGAGACAGCAAAAACAACAAAGTAAGAAACAAAAAACACACCAGATACCACACCAATATCTAATCACACCTCAAATCTGGTGACTTCCTTATCGTCACTTTCCATCTGACATCACTTCCCCTTTAAAAAAATTAGAAAACCAACACACACAGGGCATTTGCCAAGCTTCAAAAAAGCATAAAAAAAATACAGGTTAAAGCTGTAGACACTTTAATGTGTCATGAAGCAACTTAAGCGTAAACAAGCCCTTACGTGTGTGTTTAGCTGGACCTCCGCATTAACCCCTTCATGCCGGATCGTCCCGGCGTGAAGAGGAGTTCCTGCGCCAGGAGGTGGGCAGGAGGGGGCGGGGCTTGGTGTCATGTGGCCACCGTGACATCACGGCCGGTCACATGATCGGGAAAGGTCCCGATCGAAAGAGCAGACCAGGCCTTTCTGTGAGTACTGCACATGTGTGCTGGTAGCACGCAGGGCATATATTTTTGTTACATGAATGCAATTGTGCGGCCGCTTGGCATCTAGGCCCAGACGCCGGGAGGCTGCACTATAGCGTGCAGCCGGCGTGAAGGGGTTAACCATGTCTGATGCTCCAGTAAGCGCAGGAGGGGCAGAGCAGAGAGCCGGATACAGACAGTCACTGATCTCTGCTCAGAGTGGAGGGGAGAACTGAGTGATCAGCAGTGTCTGATCACTCAGTTCTTAGTTCTTAGCTGGGGAGGGGATAAATTCAGCATATATTTATATATTTTTTTTAATTGCATAGCCCATATTTCTTTTAAAAGCACATTCACCCAGAGCTGTGGCAGTGTCAAAAGCAGAGAAAGCAGGGGCACCCTGGGCGGAGATTTCAAGAGCAGTGGTCTGGTCCCATAACCATGATTTTGTCAAGCATTATTGTGTGGAACTGCTTTCCAGCCAGGATTTGGCATTTGGGAGTAAAGCTCTGCAAGTAGTGGTCGTTCCCTAAGTTAGGAATGTTATTTATTTATCCTGTCATGGAGCTGTCCTGGAAGACGCTTTGTGAAAATCATGGTTAGTGTTACCGATAATGGTGTTTCCAGGAGTTTTGCAGGACAATGTCCTTTTTTCTCACCCTGGGACTTTTATCTTTACACTTATGGTGTGTGGTAATACTTACGGTGTGGTATTACAAACCTGAGTCCCATCGCAATCCAGCAATGTCCTCAAGAGCAGCAGCTTTCCCTCCTCATCGGCTGAGACAGTAGCTCCCACTACTCTCAAGCACTGCCAGTGAGCCAATGAGGATAAAACGGGGAGCGGGGCCGAGCCACACTCTATGTGTGAATACACACACAGAGCATCAGCTCAGGAGTGAGCCTGCTTGGGTGCCCCCATAGCAAGTTGATTGCTATTGGGGCACATGGCAGGAGAAAGGGGCCAGGATCACTAAAAGAGGGGCTGCTCTGTGCAAAACCACAGGATATAGCAGGTAAGTATAATATGTTTATTATTTTTAAAAAAAAATGCCATCAATATCACTTTAAACGGTTTGTAAACCTCTTTAAATATTGTAATCTCTTTAAATATTCAAAATCTTTTTTTTTTTTTCATATAACTACATTCATTTTTATTGATTTCCCTAATACCTGACTGAGCCTGCCAGCTCCCCTTCTTCTTGGTAGAGAACTGACACTGCTAGGCACAGAAGCCTATCTGTGCGATAATTTGGTCAGTTTTAAGTACTAATATACAATATATCAACCGACTTGAACAAAAACAAACTCAAAGTCCCAAAAGCAAAATGTCCAAAGTGATATCCAAATCTTGATGGATAGGTGCTCACTACTCCGAAGATGAAGATAAATCTCAGACATTCTTCATATACCTCAAAAAAAGCAAAATCTAGACAGTGTATTGTCTTAAGTACCACAAATATAGTGCCACACGTGCAGCATGCAAAACACTATAGTGTCACAGCATTCGTGTAAAAGATACTCAGTAGATATCACTGCAAACCATATAAAAAGTGCATAATTACCCTAAATAAAGTAATATCAGCATGTGATCAACCAGTGTGCATGGAATATCCTCAAACTGGCATCCTCTTGTTCCTTTGGACCTCACAAACAGACCAGGAATCAGTATGTGAATCAAAATAGTATATACATTTTATTGTAGCCACTTACATTAAAAACTGATAAAAACGGCTTCCTGCTCCTAGCAACAAGTGTATAACCACATTGTGGCATCAAATGGTCTCCCGATCACCGGGGAGTACACCGCCACACTCCTTCCCACCACTGTCACTTCAGCTCTGGAGGAGCATCAGGAGTACACCGCGAGTCCCAGGAACGTCAAAACACAAGCGCTCCAGAATCCAAAATGGCCGCCGCGACACTTCTGGGAATGTCAATACGTCACGTGCCCTGGACGCGTTTCGTCACTTCTGGACTTTGTCAACAAGGACGTATTGACGTTCCCGGATTCCTGGGATATCACTTTGGACATTTTTGGGTTTTTTATTTGAGATTTTGGACACTTTGCTTTTGGGACTTTGAGTTTGTTTGTTTAAGTCGGTTGATATATTGTATATTGGTACTTCAGGGGAAGGATATTGATACGACTTTAAGGGGTACTGTGTGTTATTTGTTTTTTGTGTGCTGACTTATAGTTATTTCAGTTTTAAGTACTGGTCAGACATTCCCAGCATTGTACAATGGTCCATGGGTACTCGAAGGCTGGCTTCACATATATGTGCATTACTGTAATGCACTGCAATACACATACCATTTATTCTAAACGGTACCCCACATACCAAACACTCAGCACACCTGCATTGCAGTGTGCAACAACGCATGCTAAATGGTGCACTGCAGCTGCAAAATTGTGGCAGTTTTTTAGGTCTCTTTTTGTTGCATTGACAGTCCATTCAAATAATACGCTGTCTTAACGCAAGCATGTTAATACTCAACCATGAGGCCTAAGGTTGCTGACTATTCTGTAACATTTTTTTTTTTGCTGTACTGTTAAAGCTTTCTACACTGCTTTACAACATTCTGCTGAAAACAAGCCTTACTCTGAAAATGTGTAATATGTGACATGATTTCTCAATAAAAAGAGTATATGAATAAGCTTTTGGTGTACTGAATTGTAGGTAATGGTGACCTTGCTGTAAAATGTCAGATGTCAGTGTCAGGTACAAAAACTGTTTTTGAAGTTATTTTGCAGCACTTTACTTCAAAATATATTACATAAAAGTACTCAGAAAATAACAAAAGGAATACAACCACAAAGCAGGACACAGTGCTAAACCTTTACAACCCCTCTGGTGTTGAACATAAATAACATTCTTGCAATAAATAAAGAAAAAGCAAATACAAGTGTTTATGTCTATGTTTAACCATTTGCCCTCCAGAGGATTTACCCCCCTTCCTGACCAGGCCATTTTTTGCAATACGGCGCTGCCAATTGTGCGGTCATGCAACACTGCACCCAAATGAAATTTATGTCCTTTTTTCCCACAAATGGAGCTTTCTTTTGGTGATATTTGATTGACTGGTCGGTTTTTATTTTCTCCACTATAAACAAAAAAAGGCAAACAACTGAGAAAAAAAAAACAATATTTTTTGACTTTTTGCTATTAAACATGTCCAGTAACATTTAAAAAAAAAAAAAAAAAAAAAATGTATGCTGCGACATGTCTTTGCTAAAAAAAAAATCCTAAATCCAAATAATTGGCTTACATGAAAGTTATAGCGTCTACAAATGCCGCTATAGATACTGGATTTTTCAAAAAATGTTTTCACTAGTAATGGCGACAATCAGTGACTTACAGCGGGACTGCGGCAGGCATTCTGACACTGGGGGGGAAATGACTTGGTGTCATGGACATCCCCAGTGACTCCAATACAGTGATCAGTGCTAATAAAAATCACTGACACTGTACTAATGCCGCCCTGTAGCAGTATTACTGCTATAGGGTGGACGGGAAGCGGTAAAAGTATGCCTTTAGTTATGTTTTGTATAGAGTGGAGAAAGATTAGAACACTTGTCAGTTTTTAATGCTGTCTGTGCCCTCATTAGGGAGATTTACCATCTCTGTTTGTTCTGTTTACCATTATCATTGAAAGTAGAACAAAATCCCAAATTTTGGGTTGTCCCCAGAAGAGTAATGGAGGGGAAATCTTCCAATGAGGACACTAGTGCTGGTGACTTGGTGAACAGGCAAAACTGAAATACCTTTTTGTCAGCATTAGACAACATAGACAGCCCATAGCCTCTGGTGTACAAACAAAACTACAGCTCTCTGCCAGCAACACTCATCCCTTAACAGGGTTTTGAAGTCCTACCAGTTCCAGGGGTCTGGAAAGGTTGCAAGAGCCTAGCAGGGTCTCAGCTGATCAACAGCCTCCGCTCCTCTGGCAACTGTTGCTGTTCCATACTACACCTCACAAACACCTGCTGACTATTTCCTGTTTCCTCTCAGGCCTGTCCTGCAGGCAGGTTAAACTTTTTTTAGGACCCTGGTCTTCGTAGTCAGCATTAGAAGCTCTTTTGCAGCCAAATCCTCTATGAGCCTCCGCATTCCAGGTCCCAAATGAACTTGCCAGTCCTGAAAGAATTGTACCCCTCACTCTGCATGGCTGAGAACCCAAGTACTGCATCCACCTTAAAAAGGACTAAAACCCAAAAATTGGGGATACATTGTTTCCATCCAGGACCCATACCCATTTAAAGCCCAACTCTGGGGAGTTTCTTCTTATTTTTAACCACTTGCTGAACGCAGATAGCCGAATGACGGCTTCAGTGCGACCGGCCAGTTCCGGGAGGGTGTCATATGACGTCCTCCCAGAACACGCACTCCCGCACGCCCCCGGGGGCATGCAATTGGTGATCTGGTGTCCAATGAGACAGCAGATCACCGATAAATGCAGTTGCCGGTAATTGACTGCACTTTCCTCACGCTGTCCGTCACAGCTTGAGGAAAGTACTGCCGATAACCGGCCATTGTCAGAGGAGGGATCGGCACCGATCTTCAGGGCACTGATGATCAGTACCCTGATGATCGGTGCCCAGCAGTGCCACCCACCAGTGCTGCCCATCTGTGCCCAGCAGTGCCACCCACAAGTGCCTGTCAGTGCCACCCACCTGTGCCACCCAGCAGTGCCCATCATTGTTGCATATCAGTGCCGCCTCATCAGTGCTGCCTATCAGTGCCCATCAGTGCTGCCTATAGTGCCCATCATTGTTGCATATCAGTGCCAGCTCATTAGTGCCGCCTATCAGTGCCCATCCGTACTGCCTATCAGTGCATCCTCATCAACGCACATCAGCGAAGGAGAAAAATTACCCGTTTGCAAAATTTTATAATAGAAACAAAAGAAAAAAAAATTTTTCAATATTTTTGCTATTTTTTTTTTCGTTTATAGCGCAAAAAATAAAAACACCCAGCGGCGAGTACATACCACCAAAAGAAAGCTCTATTGTATAAAAAAATTATAAAAATTTCATATGGGCGCAGTGTTGCATGACCGCGCAATTGTCACTCAAAGTGCGACAGCGCTGAAAGCTGAAAATTGGCTTGGGCAGGAAGGAGGTATAAGTGCCTGGTAGGCAAGTTTAAAGTAGCTCAGGTTTCAATATCCACCCATACTTTGGAGCGTCCCCTCTACTCCAGAAGATATTCTCAGTCTGCAGGGTGATGACCGGCATTATTCAGCCACAAAAGGAGTAGACTGTATGTGCAGTGCAAGGAATCATGGCTCTGTCTCAAGCTCGGTACCCCGTACTCAATGTACTGTTGTAGAGAGAGACTCACGTCAATTCACTAAAGGTTACAGTATGCGATATGAATGTCATGTGACTCATTTTTTGGAAATATTGCATAAGATAATAAAAGTCAAAGTAAAATATTAAATGTGAGGTAAATACAGCACATTTGTTAAAATAGTGAGATAAATACTGTAAAAACCATGAGATAAAGTCAATTCACTAAAAAAGCACACACATTTGTTATTTATCACTTAGTGTTTGATGGCGGTATTTTAGAAATGTACAAATTACCAATTAGAGGAACTCTGCACTGGCCAGGAAGTGAAAAGTATACAATGTATCAGTGTGAACATTTTCTCCTTTGAGCTCAGGAATGAAATAAATTGTAATATTTCATCAGAGGGAGATCATTTAGAAAATGAAAGCACAGTAGAATGTTTACATAGTTTCACATTATTGCTGTGTGCCTTCTGGTGCATCGTTATACTGCAAAAAAAAAAAAAAAAAAAAAAAGTGAAAAAATGCCAAAAATAACTAATAACTAATTTAAGTGCTAAATATCGCAAAACAAACATTTAACACATTCGGTATAAACAAATATTTAACACTTTTTTTGTGTGAATTGACTACTTTTGAGATTATTACAGCATAAGTTATTTTAACTCAAAAATGAATGCGGTGTTTATCTCTTATTGAATTGACCCCATCCTGTCAGTGCAGCTCTTTGCATCATCTAAGACCACTCACCTCTAGGAGAAGATTGAAGAGCTCAACATCGATATGAGGAGTCAGCCCAAAAAAAAACAGTCAGTGGCCCGACAGGCAGACGCCTCTTTGGGCTTTTTTGAGAACCCCACAGAGCTGCCAAGATGGGAACCCTTAAAGTATACAAAGTTAAAGTGACCATACTGACCATGTGTGGAGACAGGTTTTCTCCACCGGCACACTTGGAAGGCTGCTTGTTCCTCTCTTGCCAAGAGACTGTAGCCTCAACAGTTGTAAGTCCACTTTGACTTTTTCACCTCTTATTTGTGGAAGAATTCTTCCTGTTTCTGAATTAGTCTACTACAATAGAATTGGCTTTAGTGTCTCCCCCCCTTTTTTTTTTCTTTGGTGGACGTTCTGAGCTTTACCAGAGACACATGGTCAGCTCTTCAAGGTCCTTTTTCCACAACCTACCACCACACCCTAGGCCGTATTGAAAAGCACAACATGTGACTATCCAGAAGACATCAGAAAAAGGTAGGTATTAACACAACATACTGCTGGCTGGGGCACAAAATCTGGAATTGGGCTTTGAAAACCAGTGTGCACAACAAGCTTTTACATTTGCTTTAGTTTAGGTTCCCACCTATGTTTTTTCAGTTGCGTTTTGCAGAAACGCACAGCAGTCCATTTAACATGATTTCCTATGGGACAGGTTCCCATCTCTGTGTTTTCACCCAGTGTGTTTTTTGGAAAGGGTCAAGGACTTTTTTAAACTCAAAAACGTTGAATTTTTGGTTCAATAGACTTCAATGGAGATGCTGCAGAAAAGCATGTAGTGCGTTTTTGATGCATTTTGTGTTTTAATCTGCTCAGCAACAAGTTGGAAAAAAAAAATGCAAACCATAAAACGCATCAAAAACACATGTACAAAAATGCAAATTGCACAGCAAAAAGCACTGCAGAAACGGATCAAACACGCAAACTGCATGGGTGTGAACCTAGCCTTAAGGAAGCTTCAAACCAATATTCTTGGAGCCCTTCAGATGGAGATTACAGAAACAATAAGTGAAAACAAAATGGTTCGCTAATGGAAGGTGAGATAAAGGGTTTGCTGTGGAGAGCAATGAAAGTCAGTTAACAGAAAGCATGATATAGCATGAAGAGAATGCTCCATGATGTGCAGAGGTATATTGAGCCATTTGACTAAATAAACTCTTTTGACCTCAAGTCAAGGGGAATGCAACAGGCAAAAGTATTATACAAATGCCCCCTTTACAATCTGTGCAACTGAGGCTTTAAACTGCCAGAGTAAGTGTTTCTATTAACAACCACAGGAAAGGCCCAGAATCATTGGGCATGAGCTTTGTTTTAGGTGGATAACCTGTCTGTCTGTCTCCTGTTAAATATACATTCCCAACAAAGGGTTTCCTTGAGCCCCATACACACAATGAGAATAATCGGACGAATGCTAATATCCATATCGAAATTGAAGAGGTTACTAAAGTTACATACATTCTTGTAAGACAGAATAAAAATTCAGAAGTGATGTAATGTATTGGATTGTAGTTTTGGATGAAAACAAAAATCACGAGAAACATTTGCGAGCTTGTCCCTTCGAATAATTTTGGACGAAAGCTTTATACGAATGATAAGATTATCGTGCAATTGCTTTGAAAGAGGTACTTTTTGTACAATTGTCTGATAGTGTGTCCTAGGCTTTAGACAGGCTTGTCACTGGATGTTTGCTAGATATTAAGTCTTCAAAAGAAACACAATGTACCATGTCCTAAATCTGACAATTACAGTAGTAGTAACACAAGGAAAGCGTTATATTTTTCCAACAAGAAACATTGGTCAAATAAAAGTTTTCATAGTATGTAAAAAAAAACCTTGGCATGCTCAGGACATCCGATATACGGGCAGGCTATTAATATGGCCAAAACACTAAATCCATACATGGATTGAAATTTGACTGGTTCAGCAGTAACCGGCCGATCACGCATGGGCAGGATGGTTATTTATTTTTTAAAGGTGGACTTAGCCTTTAGTAAAGTAAACCATGCTCTGCTGTTTCAGTGCCAAGTGCCACTGTCCAGAACTGATACTTTCTGCTAGGTAAAACGCTGCATTTTACCTTATAGGAATTTTGAACCAGTCCTCATATACAGTGGGGAAAATAATTTTTTGATCCCCTGCAGATTTTGTAAGTTTGCCCACTTACAAAGAAGTTCAGGGTCTATGATTTTCATCATAGGTGTATTTTAAATGATCGAGACAGAATGTCAACCAAAAATCCAGAAAAAATACATGATACAAATGTTATAAATTGAGTTGCAGTTCAGTGAGTAAATTAAGTATTTGATCCCCTACCAACCAACAATACTTCTGGCTCCCACAGACTGGCTATGTGCTTATGTGGTATACAGATTAGTCCTGACAATTTAATAAGGTGCTCCTAACGACAACTTATTATGTGTATAAAAGATACCTGTCCACAGAATTGTTTTCTTCCATTTAAACCTCACCACCATGGGCAAGACCAAAGAGCTGTCAAAGGACATCAGGGACAAGATTGTAGACCTGCACAAGGTTGGAATGGGCTACAAGACCATCAGCAAGAAACCTGGTGAGGAGACAACTGTTGGAGTGATTATTTGCAAATGAAAGAAATACAAAATAACCATCAATCACCCTCGGTCTGGAGCTCCATGCAAGATTTCGCCTCATGGGGCAAGGATAATCATGAGAAAAGTGAGGGATCAGCCCAGAACTACATAGGAGGAGCGTGTTAATGACCTCAAGGCAGTTGGGACCACAGTCACCTAACAAACCATTGCCAACACAATACACAATATGCCGCCATGGTCCCCCTCCTCAAGAAGGCACATGTACAGGCCTGTCTGAAGTTTGTCAATGAACATCTAAATGATTCAGAGAAGGATTGGGATAAAGTTCTGTGCTCAGATGAGAGAACCAAAATTGAGCTCTTTGGCATTAACTTGACTCCTCGTGTTTGGAGGAAGAAAAATGCTGACTATGGCCCTAAGACCACCATCCCTACAGTCAAGCACAGGAGGTGGAAACATTATGCTTTGGGGCTGTTACTCTGCTGAAGGTACAGGCTGACTTTGTCACACTGAGGGGCAATGAACGGGCCATGTATTGTAAAATCTTGGATGAGAACCTTCTTCCCTCAGTCAAAACACTGAAGATGGGTCATGGATGGGTGTTCCAGCATGACAATGACCCAAAACATAGTCCCAAGGCAACAAAGGAGTGGCTCAAGAAGAACATTAAGGTCATGGAGTGGCCTAGCCATTCTCCAGACCTTAATCCTATATAAAATTTATGGAGGGAGCTGAAACGTCGAGTTGCCAAGTTACACCCAAGAAACCTTAAGGATTTAGAGAAGATCTGTAAAGAAGAGTGGACCAAAATCCCTCTTGAAATGTGTGCAAACCTGGTAACAAACTACAAGAAACGTCTTGCCTCTGTGCTTGCCAACAAGAGTTTTTGCACCAAGTACTGGTCATGTTTTGCTTGGGAATCAAACATTTATTTTACTCACTGAACAGCAACTCCATTTATAACATTTGTATTATGTGTTTTTTTCTGGATTTTTGGTTGATATTGTTTCTCATTTAAAATACACGTATGATAAAAATTAGACCATTTGTTTCTTGGTAAGTGAGCAAACTTACAAAATCTGCAGGGGATCAAATAATTATTTTCCCCACTGTATGTGGTTAGCCTAATTTGTTTTTCTTTTCTATCATGTACATTTATCAAACAAAGGTACCAAATACATTTTAGCTCACAGATTTGATCACCTGTAAAAAGAGTACT